AAACTAACTGACTGCAAGCCCATCTACTTTCCCTGACTTTTGGGGAAGAGCAGAGAGGGTGGTGAGGTTTAATGTTAGTTTTATTTTTCTCTTGCTTGTGGGAGCTGTTAATTATAACAACTGAATATTGAAAAGTTGTCAAGGGCATTCTTTCACATATTGCTATGATCTTGTAGTGAGATATTAAGGTTGCATTGTAAGTTTCTGTTTTACAGGGTCTGGACCTTAGTGTCACCTTTCTTCTGAACCTTTTTGGTAAACATGCCATGGGGAATTGGAACCAAATTTCAGCTAGTAATTAATGTGTGTGTGGAATGATCTCCAATGTGTATTTTGCGTTTATATGTTTTAGGGTTTTTTAGGAAAGTTGGGAAACCGGAAAAGCAGAGGAGTTTGAATTTTCCACACAACATGCATTTGCTGCTCCTGGCTGCTGCCTGAGCAGTAACACTATGATATCAGAGATAATCAGCCACTCAGCACACCTGCCCTCTAGTTCATTAGCATATGTGTGGGAGTGACTATTGCCTGTCACTCACTACAGGACAGGCCCAACAAAGAAAGTAACAGAACGCCACTAGCCGTCATCTACAGCCCCCAACTCAAACCTCTCCAGCGCATCATCAAGGATCTACAACCTATCCTGAAGGACGATCCCTCACTCTCACAGACCTTGGGAGACAGGCCAGTCCTCGCTTACAGACAGCCCCCCAACCTGAAGCAAATACTCACCAGCAACTACACACCACACAACAAAAACACTAACCCCGGTACCAATTCCTGCAACAAACCCCACTGCCAACTCTGTCCGCATATCTATTCAAGGGACACCATCACAGGACCTAACCACATCAGCCACACCATCAGGGGCTCGTTCACCTGCACATCTACCAATGTGATATATGCCATCATTTGACAGCAATGCTCCTCTGCCATGTACATTGGCCAAACCGGACAGTGTCTACGCAAAAGAATAAATGGACACAAATCAGACGTCAAGAATTATAACATTCAAAAACCAGTCGGAGAACACTTCAGTCTCCCTGGACACTCAATAACAGACTTAAAAGTGGCAATTCTTCAACAAAAAAACTTCAAAAGCAGACTTCAACGAGAAACTCCAGAATTGGAATTAATTTGCAAACTGGACACCATCAAATTAGGCCTGAATAAAGATTGGAAGTGGATAGGTCACTACAAAAAGTAATTTTCCCTCTGCTGATACTCACACCTTCTTGTCAACTGTTGGAAATAGGCGACGTCCACATTGATTGCATTGGCCTTGTTAGCAGTACAAAAGTAATTTTCCCTCGCTTGATATTCACCCCTTCTTGTCAACTGTTGAGAATAGGCACTGACCCCCCCCCCCACACACTTGGCAAGGCAACTCCCATCTTTTCATGTTCTGTAATATTTATACTGCTTATTTTATTTTTCAGTCCATGCATCTGATGAAGTGGGTTTTAGCCCAGGAAAGCTTATGCCCAAATAAATTTGTTAGTCTCTAAGGTGCCACAAGGACTCCTTGTTGTTTTTGCTGATACAGACTAACACAGCTACCACTCTGAAACCTATTGCCTTGGTTGTCATGGCAACATATGCCTTTGATAATTGATTGACCTCAGACAACCATAACATTATTCCAGAGCAGGGTCCCAGGAGGAATGGCAAAGAGAGCAAACTGGGTTTGGACAAGTTCCTAGAGTAGTCCTTTGGGCTTCAGGTAAGTTACACAGTTTCTTTTCACAGGGGAATTGTTTGTTCCTTTCCTCAGAAAGGGTTACATGAAAATAAGACACAAAATTACTGTAAAGATGTCGGAATTAGGACATGGGTCAGCCGAGCCTTGGGCAGCTGACATTCCCACGGTGACACCAGCAGCACTCTGGAGAACAGGTGCCACAGGAAGTACCACCCAAAGGATCCAGAATGACAGTACCCTGCACCCCTCCTACTGGCGAGCCACCCTATTTAACTCTGGAGTGCACCCCAGGAAGTTGTCTGGGCAGCCACACAGACTTCAGGCATGCTGCAATTCCGGACCTCAATCTCCGGTCTCCAATCCAAGCCTGAGTCTGACCCTGACTCTTGCCCGCCTGCCTTCAGCCTGGTCATACCTCTGATCTCTGGCCTCCGATCCCGACTCTTGCTTATTTAACAAGTAGGGGTCTCAAAGTCCTGGCCCACAGGCCATCTGTGGCCCAAGAACCTCCCCACTGCAGCCCGCGAAGGAGAGATGCATGCAGCCATTCTGCCGGCAATGTCTGCTGCAGGCGCCACCCACCGCAGCTCCCATTGGCAGGGGGAGAGGGACAGAGATATCATCACTAGTCGCCGGGCAGAGTCAGCCATGGCGACAGCATCATTAGTTGCTGGGCAGAATCAGCCATGGAGGCAGTGTCACTTTTTTCCACAATGAATATAAACAAGTCAAAATACCGAACACAACTATCTGATGCACACCTTGCTGCAATCCTGAAGGTTTCAATTGCTCAGTCACTGAGGCCAAACATCAACAAACTGACAGAACTGAAGCATTGCCGGGTGTCTGGCAAACACTAAAGACTCTCTGGCAGGCGAAGAATTGTAAGAAGTTGTATGACAGTTTTATTATTTCTAAGAAATTTGAAATAAAAAATACAATATAAACATTTTCTTTTCTGAACACCATCTTCAGTGACATTATTGGCCCCCTGGGAGGATTTGAGGACTGGCACTGACCCTAAGGTAAATTGAGTTTGAGACCCCTGCTCTAGCGAATCCTTCGACCCCTGCTCACAAATATCAAACCTGACATGTGGGCCCCAGCCCCGTTGTAAGCAGCAGGCCAGAATGCCTATGGCCCTGTCCCTTATATTACAGATCCTCTCCTGTAGATTATCTGCGTCTTACAAATTGGAGGCTAGGACTTTAAAAGGCAAATATTCACAAAGAAAGTGGGAAATTATAGATCTGTTAGTCCCAGGTCAGTTTTCTGTTACACAATTTTAAAAAATGTCACGTAGAATCATAAGTTGCAGTGAAACTGAAACAACAAGGAGTCTGGTGGCACCTTAAAGACTAACAGATTTATTTGGGCATAAACTCCCTATTCAAATCCAGATTAATGGTGTTAAATTTGCAAATGAATGTTAGTTCTGCTGTTTCTCTTTGAAGTCTGTTTCTGAAGTTTTTTTGTTCAATGATAGTGACTTTTAAATCTGTAATAGAATGACAAGGGAGATTGAAGTGTTCACTTACTGGCTTATGTATGTTACCATTCCTGATGTCCGATTTGTGTCCATTTACTCTTTTGCGGAGAATTTTCCATCAGGAAATTTGTTTAATTTGCAAATTTAACACCATTAATCTGGGCTTGAACAGGGACTGGGAGTGGCTGGCTCATTACAGAAGCAGCTTTTCCTCTCCTGGAATTGACACCTCCTCATCCATTATTGGGAGTGGACTACATCCACCCTGATTGAATTGGCCCTGTCAACACTGGTTCTCCACTTGCGAAGTAACTCCCTGCTCTCCATGTGTCAGTATATAATGCCTGCATCTGTAACTTTCACTCTATGCATCAGAAGAAGTGAGGTTTTTACCCCACGAAAGCTTATGCCCAAATAAATCTGTTAGTCTTTAAGGTGCCACCAGATTCCTTGTTGTTTTTGTAGATATAGACTAACACGGCTACCCCCGATAGTAAAACTGAAGTTACATTAAAAAAGAAATATGTTTTGTTTGCATAGTTTAATTTAATTACTTTCAGTACATCGGTCAACATGGCATTGAGTGGTGAAATATGGAGCTTCACAAAGATAACAATGGCCATAAAATATACACTGAACACAACAAATGCTTTATGTAGTAAGCATATTATTATTTAAATAGAAAATCTTTTAAATATGTGCCATTAAAAATTAAGGAAATTCACACACACAAAAATCCTTTGTTTAACATTAGTTAAGGTTGCTCACATCAGTAAACTAAACCACAAAAAAATATGAAATGCAAAGCTAAGGATTAAAACGTAGCAAAATTCAAGCACTCTCAAATTAGGAAACTCCAGAATGAACGTTGCCTATTCAGCACGTCTTCCGCCTATGCATTATGATATAGCTTTAAGTAGATGCATAAGTGACCACTTGCAAAAAAGTTTGGTGTAAGTGCTTGCGCAGCATCACATAGGTCATAGGACCTCAGATTCTATCCCTGCCTCAGCCACTGAATTTCTAAGAGATGCTGGCCAAGTCATTTACACCAAACTTTTCACAGGTGGTCACTTATGCGTGGAATTAAAGAATGTATCATAATGGATATCCACTAGAGGAGTGAAAAAAGACTGTATGGCCAATGTTCATTCTAGCGTTTCTTAACTTGAGAGTGCTTGACTTTGCTACCTATTAATCCTTAATTTTGTATTTCCTATTTGTTATGGTTAAGTTTATTGATGAGAGCAATCTTAACTAATGTTAAATGAAGTTTTTTGTTTGTGAATATAAATCAATAGTACAGCCTCCGCACAGTTTTGGAAGCCGCACAATGCAATGGCTGGAACGGGTATGGAAAGCGGACAAGCTGAACAGGGTTATATTAACAAGGATGGATATGATGTCAGATACTAGAGGCATTTATCTGTGTTATTCATTTACCACTGAAATAGTGCAATCTCTAGCTCATGAGCCTTAAGAGAGATCAATAGGAGTCTTTCCAAAGATCATCCCTGCTGTATCTCAGCTGCCCATCTGTATTATGAGAAATCTACTGGCTGCAGGATCACACACTTATTTCCATGGCTACCATGATGCCTATAGTCAGGAGAGAGGCCAAAAAATCCAACTTGCAGCACAATTAAATGCCAAAATGGTACAATAAAATTGCTCACCATTATTAGCCTGGGTAAAACACACACTTTTCCAAATAACTCAAAACACTTGCTCATATGAATAGTGACAGATTGTGTAACAAAAGGGACTTGGAATGTCAGGATTACGTGGAAACTCCCGGAGTCAGCCTACCGTAGTAATGTAGCGGGAATGGAATTCTGGAGCATCCTTCAAGAATGTCAGGCCAGGATGCGTTTCAACCACATCCTGAAAGACAAAACCAAGTGAAATTGGAACAAGGAGTTTTTTTCCTTTTAATTAGAGTTTTAAAATGACTGAGTTTACAAAGTGATGCTCTGTGGCACTTTCCAAACTGCAACTGCAGCATTTAAAAAGTTAATTACAATATTTTAAAATGAACCTTGTAAAAGTACAGGCATTTTCTGGACAATACGCACCTGCTGGGCCATTTTGATTTACTTAAAGACAGAAAAACAAAGGAAGAATTAGTGAGCAGATGAAAACTCATTTTTACTGATAGAGAAAAAAATGTTAGTTACTTGGACCATATGACTCTTTCCTCCCCAAATCCCCTTTTAATTCCTCGCAGATATTAATATTTGTCATACTGATACATCAGAAATAAGTGTTCTTCTGAAAGACTTTAAAAACAGCCCTTTGTGTCTTTCCAGAGCAATATCCAACAACAGGAGAAGAGCTATTTTTTTAAATCTTCTTTCATAAAGATACAATCTTGTGTGATCGGTAGGATACGCATAGCTACAGTCCATACCTTTTCCACACTAACTTGACTATTTTGGTATTTCTCTTTCTCTCAGAATAGTTATTTTTTTAATGCCAAATCCTGGCCTAGTGGTATGGAATTCAGCCAGAGCTGCATGGTTCTGACATGTTCCTGGCTGTGGAAGACCTGCTCATATCGTGAATGGAAGAAGCCTCCAGCCGGATGGCTGCATAAGCACTACATGCCTGCACTACAAGCATCTTCAGTGGCAAGGGGGAAGCATTCATGACTGTGCTCCATCTATAAGAAGATACTGTGGAGGCTTTGAGCATATGGATGGCCTCCTTGAGGGCCAGTGGTGGTGAATAGCCACTAACTGACTGACAGGCAGCCAAGGAAACATTAAAATATTTAATTATTTCGGGGATAATCTCTGGCCTGTGCTATACAGGAGGTCAGACTAGATGATCACAAGTTCCCATGCTGGCCTTAGAATCTGTGAATCCACAAAAGAGATTATGCAGCTCTTAGAGTGCACTGGCAGCTGCAAAATGGAGCTGCTGTCAGTCAGGAGAGGAAACATGCCCTGTGGGGAAAATATGAAAAGTGCCACCAAGGAGCGTGAGAAAAATCCATCCCAAAACTCTTATCCACAACCCCATAATGGTACCAGTTTTTTTGCGGGAAGGCAAGCACCATCTCAGAGATCCAATCTTGCCCCTCAAGACATCTCCATGGTTATGTACAGTGGGCACCACAATATCAGAAATTTATTAACACTGGAAGGAGCTCAGAGAAGGGCATGAGCCAATGATCAGAAGAGCTGGAGGGACTAATTTATGGAAGGAAGATTAAAAGGGCTACGTACATATAGAGCTTAGCAACAAAGACTAAGGAGGGACATGAATAAATTGCCTAGGGAGGTTGTGGAGATTGGAGATTTTTAAGAGCAAGTTAGACAAACACCTGTCAGGGATGGTCTAGATAATACTTAGTCCTGCCATGAGAGCAGGGGACTGGACTAGATGACCCCTCAAGGTCCCTTCCAGACCTATGATTCTATGATACGCAGCCACAACTATCTGAAGGAACTAGACACCAAGAATGGAGAGGGGTGTTTGTTTTTTATAGTGTAT